AATAAATAGAGGGCATGAATTTGAAGAAGGGTAGGAAGGGGCACATGAGAGGGTTTGGAGGAAGGCAAGGGAAGGAAGAGTGTAATCATAATCTCAAAAAATTATTTTTGATTTTTCAAGACAGGGTTCCTCTGTGTAGCAGCTCGGGCTGTCCTGGAACTCACTCTATAGACCAGGCTGGCCTTGAATGCAGAGATCTGCCTGCCTCTGCCTCCCTAATGCTGAGACTAAAGTTATGCACCACTACCACCTGGCTCAATTTTTTTATGTTAATGGTAGTTTATTATAGCAGCAACCAGACACAATTCGCTCTATGGAAAAATACAGAATCTAATAAACTGAACCATAGAGGAAAGTATTCCCCAAATCTATGCAGGAGGTGATATATTCAATATATACAATTTTTTAAAATTAGTGAATCAGTTCTAAAGAATAACAATGTCATTCTCTCATGATATTGCCATTTAGATACATTTTTATCAATCATAGGGCCAATTTTATTCCCTTATTGGTACAAAAATTTTGTTTGTGCCAATAATTGTGAAGTCAATGAAAGTTTTTAAAAAAAATCTCAAAAAGTTATCAGTGCAAATCTATAATCTAAAATGTTAAGAGGTTTAAACAAGAACTCTCCTAAGACAATATTTGAAGTCATATAACGTGTGTGTGCACACATGTGTGTGCATGCATGTATGTGTGTATAAGTATGTGTGTGTGTGTGGTGTAGGGATATGTGTTCTAGTGCATGTGCCTGTGTATGTGGAGGCCAGAGGCTGATATGTGTCTTCCTCTATTGCTGTCCACATTATAGTTTGAAATAGGGTCTCTCACTGAACTAGGACCTTGGCATTTCAGTTAGTCTAGCTGGTCAGCAGACCTTAGGGATCTAGTTGCTCCCACTTCCCCAGCAGAGATGACAGACACACTGTCATGCTTTCAATATGAGTGCTGGGGAATCTGAAATCACCAAACATTTTACTCACTGAGCCATCTCCCCAGTCGCCAACCTTTATGCCGCCTAGTTTTACGTCAACTTAACATAAGTTAGGTCATTTTGAAAGAGGGAAGCTCAACTAAGAAAATAGCCCCACCAGATGGGCCTATGGGTCAGCCTGTGGTGCATTTTCTTGACTGATGATTGATGTGAGGAGTCCCAGCTCGTTTGTGGGAAGTAACACCCCTCCAGGCTGGTGGTCTTGGGTGATATAGCAAGCAGCTTGAGCAAGCCATGCAAAGCAAGCCAATAAACAGCACTCTCCCATGATCTATGCAGCAGTTCCTGCCTCCAGGTTCCTGCCTTGAGTTCCTGCCCTGACTTCCCTGGATGATAGACTACAAAGAGTAAGGTGAAATAAACCCTTTCCTCCCTAAGTTTATTTTAGCCATGGTGTTTTATCATAGCAATAGAAACCCTACCTAAGACAACCTTTAAAAATAACTCCTGGGCCAGTGAGATGGCTCAGAGGGTAAAGGTGCTTGCTGTCAAGACTGATGATTTCAGTTCAATACCCAGGTCCCACATGGTGGAAGGAAAGAACTGACTCCTGTAAGTTGTTCTCTGACCCTGTGCATATGAGAATATGTGCTCACATATGTGTGTGTGAACACATATGCAAAATAAATAAATGTAAAAAATTAAATAATTCCTTTTACTACATGTGTGGTGTTGAGAATATGCTAGAATTATTAGAGATAATACAGAATGTGGCCTCAATTTAGAAATTTAGCATCAGTAAGAAATGCTACAACAATGCCCTCTAGTGACTGGAGAGAACAATAAAAATGAGGAAATCCTTGAAATGAGTCAAAAGGCTACAGGAAAGGCCTTAAGTTTCTGCCCTTGCGCTATTCCCAGGGTAAAGGAGAAAGAGACTAATGCTATTCTGTGCAAATGGGATTCTCCCCACAGTCATCTGCAGGCAGGCCATGAGGTGGGTGGCCACCTCACTGTCTGTGAGGCAGGCTCAGGGAAGACTTCTACCAGGCAATGTGAACATGATCTCTGGCATCCTGAAGAACACATTGGAGAAAGCAAGGCTGAGTGGACTGAGCAGGTTGAGCATCCCTAAAATGAAATTCCTAATATGAAAACCCAAAATTCCAAATGTCCCAAACCCTGAAAGGTTGTGAGAGCCAATACAATCTCTCAAATGGAAAAGCCCATACTTTCCTTGGCTGTGATGGTTTGAACCCAAAATAGAGGCACTGAAACTGCTGCATGAGAGCACCTTCAGGCTATGCGCATAAAGCAGCTATGAAATGGAAATGCCGTTTGTGTTTAGAATTGGGCCACATCTCCAAGGTACCTATCTCATTATGCATAAAAATTTGGAATCTGGGACATTTCTGGTCCCCAGTATTAGGGTAAGGAATACTCGGCCTGTAGCTATGACATGCTTCAAGTCCCAGTGTGTTTTCAGACTCGGGTTAAACTGGTTCCCAGCAAGGCTTTCCACTCACATCCACAGCTGCACAAAGTGAAGCAGTACCTGCAAGTGCCCAGTAGGCGGTGCCCACGCATTCGTTTAGCAGGACAAAGGCCACCAGGGACATTCCTCCATTCATCACGCCCACCAAGAAGCGAGTTACTGCAAAGAATTCATATGAGGGGGAAAACCCATTTGCGATAGCAAATAAGATGTCAAGAGCAAAACCTGGGAAGAGAGGAACAATATTCAATGACCCAGAAGCAAAGCAGCATTTGAAGAAAATAATAAATTATATTCATCAGTTTGTGAAATAAACCTTTGTAAACTTAAATGTCCTGAGCTATGGCTTGCATTTTTTTCTAATAATTTGCCCTGAAAACCACAAAAAGAAAAAAAAGACCCAAGGCTTGCTTTCTTTGTTTTACAATTTCTGTCAATCACACACCATTTTCAGTTATTCATAATAATGCTAGAAATTGAAAATCCTCACTCATACTCAGCCTGTCAAGACAGCTACGCCAAGTCCTATAGAGTTCATTTGAAATAAATCAACACAGAGAGACACAGAGAAAGGATGGGAAGGCTGTAGCAATCTTCTACTGCTCTGTCTAGAAGCAGGGCAGTGATTACAATTTGGGGGTTGTAGAAAGCACTGTCAGAAAAAAAAAATGTTTTTAGCAGAAATAGCTGGCCTTAGCAGGGTGAACTCGTTCCCGAAAACCACTCGGCCAGAGTCTCGGCTAGCTGCAGTGTGGCCTCTTGCCAGTGTAATAAACAGAAGCTCTGTCTACCTGTGGACTCAGAGAACTTTAAGAAAATAACCCCCAGGTTCTGCAGTCATTTGAACAAAATTGTAGAGACATCCAGCACACTCCATTTAAAAAAAAGAAAGAAAATAACCCCTTATTATTTCCTTAAGACTCTTAGGGACATAAAGCCTCTTATTCAGTGTAAGAACATGGTGACAAAGTACCTGTGAGGTAGACTTTTTTCCTCCCGAAGCGATCTGAAAGCTGACCAAAGGAGATAACGCCAACAAACACACCACTGAAGAAAAAGGAGCTGGCCGCACTGACTTTGTAAGATCGGTTGGCAATTAAAAACCACTATAAGAAAACAAAACAAAACAAAAAATTCATGAGGGGGACAATTTAGGTCACAGAGAGCAATATATACACTGCACTAACAAAGCCTAGTTTATAACACAGATTGGACACTGGTATCAATGTCCGTTAGCCAGAATCTGCTGGAATATTCATCACAGACAACATCCAAGGAGACAGCTTCAGAAACACTGGGAACCATTGCTGCTATGGTATACTTGCAGGGTATTCTTCATATACTCCCAGCAGAACTGCACACAGCATGCAAGTGCTAATCACATATACAATTGCTGACTATGGCCTTGTCCTGAGTCCTTGGCAGTTTCTGGAGAGGAGAAGCCTTGTTCTATTTCCATTTTTCGGATGCCTACACATCACATGACACCTATGAAGTAATCAATGAATAAATCTTTTGGTTAACATATTAGTATATTTAAAATTCCTTGAGCACATTCCTCAAAAAAATAAAATGGAAGGGAGGTGGAGAGAGGACTCAGGGGGTAAGAGCACTTGGTTACTCTTCCAGAGGATGGGAGTTTGAGTCCCAGCAAGCCCATGGTGGCTCCAGTTCCAGGGGATCCAAAGCTGTCTTTAGCTTCTGAGGGCACTGCATAGACATACATGCAGGAAAAAAAAAACTCAGGCACATAAAATAATACAAAATTAAAACTGAACATCATATGATCCTCCAATTTCTCTTCTGGGTGTATATGCATGAGCAGCAAATTCCAAATTCAGGTTCTCTGTCAACACCCAGGTTAACACATCATATTCCCAATAATCGAAGACAGAGTCACCTGTGTCAATCAACAGATCAATAGAGAAGTAGAATGCCATATGCATGTACAATGGAATATTACTCAATATTACTTTAGAGCTAATGCAGTCTGATTCATGCGACAGCCCTGATGAACTTTAGACATTATAGAAACAAGCCAGGCAAGAAGGAACAAATGCTGCACAACTCTCGTAATATTAGGTACCTGCAAGAGTTAGCTTCACAGAGACAGAAAGAATAGTGGTTACAGGGATGAAGGGATGTGGGACAGGGAGTCAATGTCTCATGAGAACACACTTTCCATGTAGAATGATGAAAACATTCTGGAGACAGACAGCGGTGATGATTGCAGAATATAAATATATGAATTCCCCAGAATTATACACTGTACACCAAGGTGGTAGGTATCCTTCGTGCCATGCAAATTTAGCATGAGAAAAACTTCCTAGAGTGCTATGGACAATTATGAATGTAAACAGAAGGCAATCTCATTCTGTTCAGCATCATCTTCTGACAGCCTATCTAGTGATAGTTATCAGTGAGGAGCAGTAAAGCATGTCACAGAGGTATAACCTCAGAGGACACAAAGACACATCTTTCCTCTTCCCAGCCCCCTTGCAGATCCACCCAAGAGCCCTTCTCTGAGAACTCTCAAGGCGGCACTTTTCTGGGTTGCCTGCCCCTGTTTGGTGTGTGTGTGTGTGTGTGTGTGTGTGTGTGTGTGTGTGTGTGTGTGTGTGTGTGTGTGTGTGTTACCCTTTCACCATGCTTTAACTAACTGGGGCCCCAGAAGCACATCCAAACTCTCTCCTTACTTTGTATCTTCTATAAGCCTGGATTGATGATGGTCTTGACAAGTCAGATCATGACAGACAGGGTTATAATATGGGTTAGAATTTCATAGAAGAGAGATGAAGAGACCTCTGGCATTTGAAAAAGAATTTTGTTTTTTGAAAAGCTAATTCGTTTTGGATACACTGTTAGTCCTGTAGAATAATGTTCAATTCGGGAGGAATGACTATGGTGACATATTCTGAAATGGAAAAGTGAGATGTCAGGTGCCCTGTTGTCCTAGAGGAGCCAGCTCAGCATCCATCACAGGGACAGTCCTGCTCCTGTGATAGACGAAACAGGAACAAATGGAATTGTTCTTAACTACAATTAACGTCTTAATTCAAACACTTGTTATATTTATCATGTTCTTAATGCTCATGCTTACATGCTCTTAAAGGCTGCCTTGTGACTTTAGCATTGATTTCTCTGTGCTTTAGGAATTCCAGTCTGTATATATGGTCAAGATACTCAGGTGGACAGCGAGCTAGGTCAGAAGGAAATGACTAGACTGTTGACTGTATTTACCAAATTTCTCATATCCACTAAAAAGGCTACAGTGCCATCCCTCAGCAACTGAATAGCTGTCAACTTGGACAATGATTTTAGGAAGAAATGGCCCAAGGGATGGATAAACAGCAAATTCCAAATCCTGATTCTCAGGCTGCCAGTTCCAAGTGTCAAAGTAATTTCTACTAATTTTTCTTCAAGTCAATGCTGGTTAGGCTAACGCACCCTCCCATTTCTCCTGGACTACATTCAAGAACAGACAGAAATTTGAAAAGCAGATTTTTGCAAAGCTAATTGGAGAAAGCTAGCTAGAATCTGGGGTCTCTCCCTCAGCAGAGCTCCATGAATTGAGAGTGCTAAGGCGCAGGTGACAAGTATTTCACAAAGTCAGCTGACAGAAAGATTTCCACAACCCTATCCTGACTCTCCTTTACAGTTTTTTGTTTTCAACTCCTCTAAAGCATCATTTAAATTCTTATTACTTAGCTACCACGTGATCAAGAGGGTTTTACTTGGTTCAAACTCAACTAAGATACAGTAAGACATGATCCCTGTATCTTTAAAAATACAGATTCCTATATCTTTTAAAAAATGTGTGGAGTGGCTTGGAAGACTAGCTCAGTTGCTAGCTCATTTTCTTACCCTGTGGTTGTTATTTAGTGCCAAGGTAAAAATCCAAACCACGAAATTGCCAGGACATAAGAAATTAAACTGTAACAAAACAAAATATAATGATCACTCTGACAATCTCAAGAAACATTTTCATGAATCTTTAGATTTTAAAAATCAAACTGTGGGAGCCATTCAAGTCCTTATTGGCTAGCGATTACTAAAGCAGTGACTCTATTATTTTTTGTTAATTGCAGAACAAATTCTAAAGCAATTAGAATGGATGTTCTTTTTATAGTAATTCATTTCAAATTGAAAAATCACTTGCAAATCCAAAATGCAAAATCCCACTTCCTCTCCACATATATTAATAGGAAAGGAAGACTATAAAGACAAATATTTTTAGCCTCTCATGTTGATCTGACTAAACAACCGACAACTATTGTTATACATATGTTCTCTCCAATCACTAAATAGAATCTATGAGTATTTATTGTATTCTGTTTCAAAATGGACTGGAAGGCCCTAGTGGTTAAAAACAGATATCATCGTTCACTCCTCTACACAAAATGGGCCTGAGAGGAAATCAGGCGCAATGCAGGGCAGAACCAAGACCAGGTGCCTCCACCATAAAAGATGAAAGGAATATAAATATGGCCAGCACAGGTGCGAACCCAGCGCAGGTGATCAGCAGAGCCTTCCAGCTCTTAAAGAGGATGGAAGGTGGGAGAGCAGAGGTGACGAGAATGAAGACAGACCAACTCTTGGCAGCGTATCAGTGATGTGTTTGGGTGAGGGTTTTGTGCAGACTTCAGTCTTACTTATTAAAAGGCTGAGAATAAATGGGATGCCCCCAGTAAGGGACCTAAGTATGGCTACATGGAGGCAGATCTGTCCTAGCTGCAATACAAAGTATGGGGTGGAGATTGCAAGTTGACAGTGGGCAGGCTAATCAAAGGCTACTAGTGATCCAGGCTGGCCTGGGCAGAATGAGGGCTTCTAGAAGAGAACAGACTCAAAGTTAGGCACGGAGACCTGGTGTTCAGAGAGGCTGAGTCATCTCAGAATGGGAATTACTGATGCCTACTGGAATGGATTACACCAACCAAACACAGAGAAAAGCTTGGAGATGAATACTGAAGGAACTCATAAGATATATCTTCAATGAGTCTTGAATTCATCAAACCTTCAGCTTTATGGAGATGTCAAGTTGAATCAATGATTTCTCTGACATGGCAGAAATGGGATCATCAGGGGAAAAAAAACAAAAAACAAAACAAAACAAAAAAAAAAAACCAATGTACTTCCCTAAAATGGACTCCATGCTAAGGCATAATTCTAAAAGCAAAGTTAGCAGCCAAGTAATGAAAAATACAGACATCAAAGAGCTGTCAAACAGGCAGGCAGCACACTTTACAGCTAGATAATTAACCAACCAACTTTTACACATTATTCTCCTCCTGTCCCCACAGCCACCCTCGCACAGAAATGACAATATACTAGGGAAAGACTTTCTATTTTTAGCCCTCTGCATTTGTTCCATTCAGGAAACATGGAGGGAAAATCAGCTATCGGAAGGAAGGAAAGTAGGAATAAGTAGATCTTGTAACTTAGAGCAATGGTTCTCAACCTTCCTAATGCTGTGACCCTTTAATACAGTTCCTCATTTTGTGGTGACCCCTAACCAGAAAGTTATTTCTATTGCTACTTCATAACTGTAATTTTGTTACTGTTACCAATTGCAATATAAATATCTGTGTTTCTGATGGACTTAAGGCAACCCCTGTGAAAGGGTCAGTTGACCTCAAAGGGGTCACGACCTACAGGTTGAGAACCACTGACTTAGAGGAACAGAATAAAGTATTACTGGAAGGAAGACAGAGAGCAAAGGGAGTGGGTTCTCTGTGACTTCTGTGCTTAGAAAACAGAGGCTGATGGGAAGGGAAAGATGACATTGTTTTAAGTCACCTTCCATAGAGATTTTATCGTAATTTTTTATATTTGGCTAGTATTATGCCCCAAGTGTGCCTCATACCATGGGGTGTGTGTCTTAAATACAAATGCCCAATAAGATTTCTGGTTTTAAATTGGGTTCGTATCACTGATTTGCAGTCTGTGTGCCACACTCAGGTTCTCTCATGACACCAGCCCCAGATGTCATTCTTTTCCTTCCACACTGCATATTGCTGGGCTGCCCATCCTCCCTGACAGCCCCAGAGTATGGACACTGCAGCACACACTCCTCAGATAAGCATAACAACTAGAGATCTGGGAGAGCACCAGGACCTCTCTGCTGGCTTCGAGAATTGTAGTATGTGCAGCCTGACTCACAGCCACTCGGGAATGCCACAGATCTGCCCGCTTGTTCCCTTGTGGCCTAAATGGCCTACTCTCTTCTACTGATGCTTCTCCTCCTAGTTTATGGTGACATTTCATGGAACAGTAGTTGAGAAACGTGTTCTCTTTTCAAAAGCAGCTGTATTCGGTAAGTAAAAGCTATGCACAGTCGGCTTTTACAAGCACTGGGCCATTTCCCTCCTCCAGGGAGGCCCAGCTCTCACTTGCTCTCCTTGTTTTGGCCTAGGGCAGGTGATGACTCTATCACCCACACATGAGTGATACATGACCTGCCTTGCGGGAGCCCAAGTGAGGGCATGGCCATCCAGAGGGAAGCAAACATTTCTATTTTTGCCAGGAAGCCTGACTCCTGTTGAGAACTGACCTTTCTTTGTACGTGGGTAGGCCCCTGCTTCCCTCTCCCCAGCCAGCCCCCTCCCGCTGAACTTCTGTTCATTCTCTGTAATACATGCCCACACCTCAGCTTGGTCTGACACTCCTCAGTGGAGTTGACCCCTCTTCTCCCTGCCATATCATCCCACATTTTCTTCTGCATGATGCATAGTGAGCCTTGTGTTTCCTTGTCTCTCCCAAATGATGCCCTGAGCTTCCTAAGGGCACATTTGTAACCCACGTGCTAATCTTACAGTGCCTGTCAACACTAATTAAACACTCACTGAATTATGTATGTAATGAGTGAATGCTATAGTCTTACAGGCATCTTCACAGACAGTAGATTTTTGTTTGTATCTGGCTGACCTTGAACCCGCAGTACTTCCCCTGCCTCTGTCCTCTGGGTGCTGGGATTCTAACATGTGCTACCCTGCTTGACACCAACAGCATCGTGGTGTGATTACTTCGAGCCTAACACTAGAGTTTAGGAGTACCCAGAGACTACATAACTGACCATCTTTACTTCAGAGCTACTGAGTGGCATTCTCATCAAACAAAGTAAGAGGGACATTTGGTATTCGTGGGGCTATCCTTTTGATAGCCAACCTGACATCTAGAATACTTGAAGTTTAGCTCAGGAAAGCATGTTCATTTGTACACACGTATTTCTAAGAACAATGCCCATGACCATGCAACGAGCGATGCTATGAGTGGTACACAGTAAATCAATGTCTCTGTGAGTGAGACAGGTAGTGACTCCAGCAAGCCAGAGAGCCACGTCATCCCTCCCCTGATGCCGGGTCTTCTCTAAGAGGTGGATTTTACTGGGGCCCAGTGTATTTCACAAGTACCACTTCAGCATTCCAAGAAATGGGGGTAGAACCATGGCTGTTCAGTCCACCAGGTCAAAATGCAAAGGAAGACCAAGGTAGCTCCCTGGTTGCTACGGCAGGCCACCTAAACATGGGCAAACAAGACTAGCCTATGCCCACTGATCCAACTCCCTTTGGGAAAATCAAGTTCTAACAACCACTTCTGAAGCCCACACTCCTAGCTTGTGGGTATTTGAAGACTGCAGTGCTGGAACAAACAGCAGCCTTCCAATACCCCCAAAGAATGACCTTGAGGGCTCTACAGGACCTTGAGTGGTTACTGATAACAACTCCACACAAACACCATCACCAACCCTTTTGCCCTTGTCTTCTCCATAAAAATTATAAATTGTTTTGTGCTCACTCTGGGAGCAAATCAGGTAATGAGAGCTCCCGTGAGTGGAGAGTACTTGGACAGGGCATTTCCAGAGCAGTTTCATGGTGATTAACTAACTTGCTTCATTTCCATGTAGTTGTCACTCTGAATTACCACTTAATGGGTGAAGTGTGCAGGCGATAACAATCACTAGCACAGGCGTAAGGAAGCAAGACATTAAAAAAAAATTAGCCTCTGCAGCAATTAATTGCAGGGAATTTTTCAAATAGTTTTAATACTCTGGCTTTTGACCCCGGGGTCTAGCTTGAGGAAAAATATATTAATCTCAAGATAATAGTCAGTCAACTTCAGCTCTTCAATATCCACAATGATATTAAAGATTCCAACCTTGCGCTTTTTGGTTGCAAACATTAATTAAGCATGATAATTGTGTGTCTCCATGATATTTGGTGTTTTCTGTAGGAGTCAGAGCTCAGGGAATAATTTGAATACAGCAGTTAGCAATTTGCTACATAAATCCACCCCAATGGCTATTAGCTCATTTGAGAATAGTCAAGACTCCTAGATTAGAGGATTTTTTTAAAAATTAAATACCATGTTAATCACATAACCCTTTATTCAGCCTTCCAAAACCCTCCATAAAACAGTTCTTCAAGATCAAGTACAATAAGATGTTGTTAGAATCTATAAACTGTGGGTTTTAACACAATATCCTAGACTGTAGAGTTCTGTAAACACCATCTTGGTATATCTCTACACAGGCAAATGGAAGTTCTTATTTTATTTTATTTGCATTTATTTAGTGGGGTGGGGAAAATGAATGCCATAGTGCATTTGTCAAAGTCAGGGGACAATTTGCAGAACTTTTTTTTTTTTTTTCATTCTACCATGTGGGTTCAGGCATCAAACTCAGGCCATCAGGCTTAGCAACAAGTACCTTTACCCTCTGAGTCATTATCATGCTGGCCAAAGAACTTGCTTTTAAACTTTAATTTTTTAGAATAAATAATTTCAACAAGAGCCATGTCTTGAACTATGCATATACCACAGACTGTTTTCAATACTGCCAACATGAAGACTGTGAGAACAATGGAAAGCTGGAGGGGGAACTGATATCAAATCAGTACTAAGAAGTGGAGTGGGGGTCGACTTGGAGCTGCATTTCAACTGCAAGTAAGATGAACCCAGCTTGGTGCATAGACCTGTGAGTGGCCAGCACACCACCAGCCTGTGCTCCCAGCCATGCTCCCATCCTTGCTCACCAGCCGTTAATCTGCTCTGTTGCTAGTTCTCGGCTGAATGATGGTTTGGGGAACAGGGATGCTGGAAGCCACCTGTCCCAACCACTTCAAACAACCCCAACAGACCTCTAAGGTGCCAGGCAGGAGCAGTCTGCGAGCTCACACCAATGTCACCTGGCTAGGAGGGTGGCCTGCTTACCTCGGAAGCAATAGACGTGAAGCTGCTGCTGAAATGCACATGCTTGTGGATCTCACTGCCATTGGCGGTCAGAAGCCAGGCCCCAAAGGCCTGGTCTTTGCCATCTGACTGATTGCTGTGGCTCTGGTTGGGCAGGAGCTCAGCCATGTCCCAGTGATATGACGGTGTAGCTCCAATTAGTGCAATGAGGATGGCTTCTGTGGCCACATAAAGCTGAAAGGAAACACATTGAATCAAATGCTGCAGTCATGAGTACATGTGTAGAAAACTTTGGAAGCCTGAAAACCTTGAAAGATATAGTGATTAGGCTACAGATAAAGCTCAGTTGGTTGAGTGCTTGCCTACCACTGCATAAAACACACCTGGTACGTCACTTCTGTAATTCCAGTACATAGGGGGTGGAGGCAGAAGGATACTAAGCCCAAGTTCATTCTCAGTTACACAGTGAGGTTAAGAAAGCTTGAAATACATGATACCCTAGCTCAGGCAGACAAAGAAGCAAAGGAAGAAGACAGAGGAAGAGGGGGAAAGGGCTGGAGAGATGGCTCAGCCATTAAGAGCCCTGGTTCCTCTTCCTGAGGACCCAGATTTCATTCCCAGCACCCACATGGCAGCTGAGAACTATCCACAACCCCAGTTCCAGGGAATCCTGGAATTTCTGGCTTCCACAGACAGTGGACATGCATGTAATATACATATATAAATGGAGGCAAAACATGCACAAACATCAAGTAAAAATAAGTAACTGAAGATGAGGAGGAAGAGGAAGAAAGAGTAGGAGGAAGAAGAGGGGTCTTGCTTCTGTGTTTCATTTTGTTTAGCTAGAAATGAGCCACACCAGAAGCCAGGAAGAAAAACATGAAGAAGCAGCGTCCCATGCTGTGACAGGGCCATCAACAGTCCACTTGTGGAGCACTTTGTGCTTCTTTAGACAGTTTCCCTCCACATCTGGGGTGTGTCTGATGCTGTGGCTCTGTGCGATATTCTGGCAGCAAAGCCCACGTCTCTAGCTCTGGTTTAAAAGACTGATATTCCAGTTATTTCCTTCTCAGCACAGTGTTTTCTGCTCAAATAATCAGTTACCAGGAACCAAAAAGCTCTTGGGTTTGGACTCACGTAGGCATTGTTCTAAAATGTGCATGCAACTTGAAAGACTTAAAAAGAGTCAGAATCACAGATATAGTCCAACTACAACTTGTAGCTTTATTTAATACTAGTTTAATCTAACCATAACTGTCCACTAGCAAAGAAAAAATACAACACCAATTCATTCAAGATATATGTATGAATACATATGCCATCTGCCAATTACTATAGACCTGTTAACTTCTTGCAGTTGGGATTATGGGGTGTTGAACTCTCTCAGGCTTTACTGATATGGATATCTGTTTATGTTAACTCTCACTCTTGCATGATTATTTCAGATTTGAAATTCACCAAGAAAATACATAATTAGTCTGCAGGTTAAGATGATCTTATTTTAAGAAATTATGATCCCCACTAACTTTGAACTTGGTCTTAAAGTACCACTAAACAGAGTAAGTGTCTAAAAATTGCAAAGCATGTGATTCCTATCAGTATATGGCCATGAGCCCACTTGCTCTAAGAGCTGACCAAGGCACATAAAGGCAGGCAGTCTGTCAGAGGATTCCTGTTCAGTTCACCAAGAACTCCAGCTGGGGGCTCTTTCTACACCATTCTGCAGAGGCATGTTCAGCCCAGTAGATGAACAGAAGAACCAACCATGGAGTCATTTATCAGTGGTAGACAATAGAATTGGTCAAGGGAAGAAAAGGAGTCATGACATTTTGGGCATTTAACAGAAGCGAATGCAAAACCTGGGCTGTGACTTCTCCCCTCTTGGTAAGGGTTAGGGGACACAAAGCAGTCCCAAACTGTTCTGAGTGGGTGGACTGTGGACCTTCTGGGAGAAGGGCAAAGCTACCGTGGGGCCATATGCGGTGAGATTATTTATTATAAGGTGCAAAGGAAAACATGGTCCTGGGCTTCCATGCTTCCTGGACCTTATTTGCATACTATTAAGGACATTTAGAAGAGGAGGCAATCATCTTATAAAAATAAAACCCTTAATAATCACAAGAACAAATAGATTACATATCTAGCAGTAGCTATAATTACAAAGCCACTTTCATCCATTTAGTAACTGCCCCTCTGATTACATCTGCTGAAATTTAATTGATGGGTATAAAGAAATGAAAAACATGGGCCAAGGGAATGCAGGGGATGACTCACAGCACAGCCTTTCAGCAGGCAAAACAAACTAGCCACGTTCCCTCTCTGACTGTGCCCCTTCTACTTCTGTGCATTCCACTCCTTTCCCCCGCCCCCCGGAGGCCCCATCTCCAGTCAGCAATGTTAACATGCTTCTCATTCTCGGAAAGCCAGCCTCATTTACCGCCTTCCTCACCAACGCAGCTTCCTCTTCAATGGCCCAGAAGTTATGCTCATGCATATGTGTTGTGTCTGATTCATCTTTTGGCTTCCAAAGTAAATAACCCAGGGTGCCCACACTCAACAGGGGGATGAATAAATGACCAGGAAGGACACCAGCATGTGCTTCTATAATGCTAGCCATGTGCCAATCCTAGTCTAGGTTTCTGCTGAATATATATTAGCACATAATATTTTTATCTGGAATGCTCTAGGATAAGCAATATTCTAGATAAAAGAGGACATGTTCTAGAGGCTCCTCTCATCTGAGGTGTGCCTCATTATGAAGGCCACTGGTCTGGGTATAAACTACAATTTGGGGAAAGCAGTTCAAAATGAAGGGGTGCTATTATACTGCTTTATTCATGGGGAACAATGGAAACCAGTTAATCAGCATTGCATGTCTTCAGCAGTGAGAGTCCACTTCATTTCCTACCTATCTGGAAGCAGAATAAGCATTTTCTGTCCCCATATCATCTCTTCCCTCCTCCCACCTCTCATAATGTCTTCTTGGCCCCCTTTATGAACAAGCATGAGTGTGCATGCACACATACACATTCAAGGTCCTTAATACATGGGTTCATCATTTTATGTTAACAGAAAGGCTAAAAATATGCAACTCTTCTATGCAGTGCCAGCCGTGGTCATGCTTAGTTTTGCTACTCACCAGAGAGTCACAGCAGGCAGGTAACATCCATGCTATGTGATAAACATTACACAGGGGCATCATAAGATTAGGTCAGAGAGATGAGGTTCAAAACCCATAGTTATATTAATGTCAGTCTTCCGTACCAAGGTACATCCTGGGGTTACATGATCATAGGAAGTCAAAGATGACATAACCAGCCCTGCGATGTACCACCCACACAGAACATGGGGATGTTTTGCCTTGGCTTGCCGTTTTTTGACTGTGACACTTTCACACAGTTCACACATCCTACTCTGTCCCCCAGAGAACAAAAGCAGTCTCTCGTTCTCTACTATCACTCTGCCACTACCATGTGTACACTCAGCCACATTTTTGTCTAATGAAATCACACCTATCAGAGGCTGGGCTTTAAAGCCACAGTGAGAAACCACCATCTATCTATTCTCCTTCCGTGTGGGACTAACAGCATCTCAGATAAAGCATTATCTCCTCTGGCTCCAACTCCAGGGATAAAGAAGTGCCACAGATGGCTGGATTCCCCCCATACTACCCTTCGCCCCAGAGTAATTACAATTACAAAAATGACTCAAGAGTATTAAAATTTTAAGTTTCTGAAAATGAAGGTTTCTAAAGTAATTTAGTAGTAACACCATTATGGGCTTTCATGACATTTCTCAGGAAACCATCACAATCCTGCACTGTGGAGTCAGGGTTATGCCTGATGTTTTCTTTGTGAGTCGGAGCAAGACACACAAGGCAATTAAAAACCATTCAAGGTTTTCTCTAACCACAAAACTGAGATGAGAGTGGGTTCACCTAACTTTAGGGGTAGATTTTTTTCAGGGGAACATAAATGACAAAAATCAAAGCTGATTTCATTGCCATCACTACTACTAGCTTTTTATGCACTTAGGATTCAGTTGTTTAACTGGTCAACCAGAAACACTGTGTGAATAAGCCGATAATCATGAAAGCAAGACCACATGCTCCAGTGTCTGGAGCAGAGACCATTAGTAGAAGCTGACTGAATGACTTGCTTAGGAGGACATATTTGAAGGTTTAAGAGTGGAATTCACACATTCTAAATCACTGGTGCCTCTCCTCTCTAACTCTAATCCATCTACACTGTATCGCCAGCTCAGTTTCCTGAAACTCCTCAGCAAATTCTTCTGGTAAAATCATGATAATGGGCACAGGATTATTTTCCTATAACCCAGCTGCTAACTAGTCCATACAAGCTATCTGCACTGGCCTACTCTCTTCCAGGTGTGACTTGCTGCCTGCTGTGAGAGCACATGGGTCTTAACCTGAGTCTGAGGCTCAGCTACAGTCACACTCTCTAGACTTCCTGTCTTCTTGCAGTACAACTGGATCTTAATGGCATGTCTTTGCTTATGCACTCCTATCTAACTAGCCTCTCTGGAGGGTCCAATGGGACACTTCTCTACTGAACAGCACAGTTGTACTGTACTATGCAAGCAGTGTGCTCCAGGACTTCCCAAGCTTTAATCAGCAGAGGCTTCCTGGATCAGGGTGAAGAGACTGTTTCTTATCAGCTCCAAAAACAGATTCCGTGCCACTTGTTTGTTTGTTTTAATGGACTGTATGTGTTTATGTGTCTTTGTTAATGTATGCCACATTATGCGTGCATGCTTGCATGTGTGTGTGTGTGTGTGTGTGTGTGTGTGTGTGTGTGTACATGTGTATGTGTGTGTGTAGGTGTCAGTGGAGACCAGAAGAGGGTGTGGGATCCCCTGAAGCTGGTTACAGGTAGTTGCAAGCCGCCTGATAACCAAACTCAGATCCAGCACTTGCAGGGACATCACATGACAGAGTTTGGAAGAACCTGAATTAGCTCTAGGATGTTTTCATGGAACCCTAAAAACTGTGCTATCTGCTCTCCCTCATCTGACTGGGCTATTGCTTTTGCCAAGAATCCCTTTCCCTGAGCTTTAACAAACTCCCCAGCAGCCTCCCTGTCCCTACCTATTCCAGTGTGACCTACACAACTTCTCCAGCCCCACCCACTATGCACTGTAACATAGGTATGAGATATTCTCCACTTCTGCAATGGTATTTTTTCTTCTAAAATGACCTTCAAGTTTCTCTCTAA